TTGGCTTATAGAAAACCGTTAACAGTATTTTTAGATTTCTGACATGCGTCCGTTCAGTGTGAATTAACTCTAAAAAATTCATTTTTTAATCCCCTTCTTAATCAACCACACCGTCTCTCGAAATACAAAAATAAGTTGCGCAAGTCTGAAAAACAATTGGTGTTAAAGTTCTAAAATGTTGAATCGTCTGCAAGATTACCATTAATAACTTCTTGCCGTTTCTTTTCCTTTGGTTTCAAATGCCGTATCACTTCCCAACTAACAAAACTCTCCAAAGCTGGAACTTCTGTTTCAATCTGTAAAAAATATAAAAGTCAAAAATATCAGGAACAAAAAATAGCAAAAGAAATATAAAAGCAAGGGTTTACCTCTAAATCACTATCACCGTTGAATAAACCCGTTTTATCAAACTTATCTGAAGTAGTTCGCGGTTCCTCATCACCGGCTGAAGTTTGAGACATGGAAGAACTGGCTAAAAAATTGACAATTATCTAACTTGAAATGGAAAAATTTTTAGCTCTTTGCATAAATAATAAATTTACCTGACACAGACCCAACGTCAGAACGTGAGCAACCAGCAGCAGTCAACTTCTCGTCGCTTTCACCATCACTACGACCTTTTTGACCCGTTTCTTCAACTTCCTCAGCAGTTACCTGATCAATGCCCCACAACACGCCCGAACGACCCTTGTGCGTATCTCGGAAATCCTCATCCTTGAAAGCAAAGGTGATGAATCAAAGAGTAGACAATACAATGCTGCATCATAAAGTGTAAAATTCATAATTCAGATTCTGATGTAAAGAGACTACCCGAATCCTTAAGCTCTGCGACCTTAGCACTGGCTTTTCATAGGCATCGCCCGACTGCCTCACAGAGACTACTGGAGCTCCATTTTCTCTACCATACTCAGTCTGATGACGAGTTATACCCTTTAGTTGAATTTGAATTTACAACCATTAAAATCTACATTATACTTCTTAGAGTAATAAATTTTACAGAAAAATCCTTTGTCAAAAAAACAAAATAAATCAATTTCCAAATATTCTACAAAAACCACAAATTCTGAAAAACAAAGCAAGCAATTCAACATTTTAATAATTGATATACGGTAAGAATCTACCTTCTCAGAAGTGCTGGCAGAGGATGGTAAAATATAAGATGAATAGTCCCAGGGTTCGTTTTCCTCTTCTCCTTTACCAAGTGTTCCTGGCCGTTTAGATTTCATTACTCCGCCTTTCTTCTGTGTTGCCGGATAACAGTGGTCAACCAGCGCTGCAGTACACAACTTGTGTACAACAACATCACAGTCTAAAAACAGATTTTGTCACGCCCGTACTAGTATAAGAAACTACAACAATCCACCAAAACAGGCACTACAAATAGCGTGTCACAACGCCACTATAAAAAGACAAAGAATTTTAGGTGATGTGACAAGAGGCATTCAGAAAAATAGAATCTAACTAAAAAAGCGTAGTCTTTTGCTGTTTTTAAAGTAGCTAAACAACCCAGTACTTTGGCAAAAGTATGCCTGAGCATTTACACCCCACACTGCACTCCGACACTGATAGCAGTAGACAGTCATGGCGACTGGACTCAGAAGAAACTGATGTCCCTTCACCTGCACCGATCTCTTGGGCGCCATCTTCATTTTGAAGACTCCGCCTTTGTCCTTAGTAACAAATGTTGGGCAACGGTCTAGGATTTTTTCGCTAGTATTTGATCGCATATTTAACACCACCTGAAAGAAAAATGAATTAAGACCGGTTAAAAACATAAGTGTTTTAGATCTACTAAAAAAATAACAAAAAAAAACAAACATTGACCTTGATAACAGTAGCCAATGAGGAAATGACAGCTAACGAACGAGCATCACAACTTTCTAGGTCCTGACTGACAGAATTCAACATGTTTTCAAGTGATCTTATGAGAATGGTCTCCCCAACTCTCAATTCCATTGCAGTGTCGCCCTTACTAATGTTAGCTAATTGATTGGCATCAAACAATGTACCTAGCCCTAAATAATTGCAAAAATTAATGAACTATGAGACCAGTTAAAATTATGTATATCAAGATTTTTTCCGATAATCTTTATCACTAGTTTTCTTTTTGTTTGAAAAACGTTGCAAACACCCACTTAGAAACTTACCAATTTGCCTTTTTTGGCGAAAATCTGCCAGATGCTCGTTGACATCGTCCAAAGCACGCTTCCTCGCATTTGCAAACAAGCGTTTCAACTGTTCAGCGTCAGTATCTGACGGTTGAACAGTCGCAGCAAGCACCTTAAAAATAATGAACATTCAAAAAAACCATATGGCCAGACGAAACCCAATTAATCGCTTTTGATCTACGATCACTGTTTACCTTATCAATACTTTGTACAATTCCCTGGTCTACGCTGTTCCAGCTTAGCGGTGCATTGGGAATTAGAAATGTCGAAAAAATTTCATAAGCCCATTTTCGAAGTTCCTTTGCGCTTCCACCAGAATTTTGATATGCATCAGTTATCAAATAAAAAAACTGAAAAAATCAGACATTTTTTATGACAAGGCCACACCAAAATATTGCTCTATAAATCTGAAGGTAGCTTATTGAATTTCTTTTAAACAGTGAAAAGCCTCATGACTATACAGCGCGAATTAGCATCATCCATCATTTCCCATATGTTTGAATGTTTTGGCTCAAAAATGCTAAATGAAAACGACGTTTATTGAATAAAAGCAATAATAGCTACTTGTTGTTGAAATTATCAAATATTTTGACAGACAAAAACAAGAGAAAAAAAGGAAAGACTTACTAAACTACTTGGATTAGCATTAGTCAGTAAGTAGTTAATAAAAGCGGCAAGGTGAGCAGGATGAGATTTGAGGTCAGTAAGATTTGAAAAAGGTCCATGTGTTTCAAGCTAAAAAAAATAAAAAAAATTTTAGAGAAAAAAATAAAAAAAAAAGTCAAATTGATTGCAGCTATTAAACTTTGTAAAAAGGATTCTGAACGAAGAATAGTGCTTAAAAATATCATTCGCCTTTTCTCCCTAGTTTGTACTCATATTGTCAATTAATCTTCAAAACTGATCAACTTAGATTCATCGTTAAACGTTTAAAGTTAAAATTTTAAAAATTATTTACACAAAAGAATATTTACAATAAATTGGGTCGAAATGACAATAAGAGAAGACGTAAGAAAGAGCAAAAAAATTATTAAAGTTAAAAAGTTTCTTAAACATACAGCCAATGAAACTTCTTCGTCCTCATCAGTCTCCTCTTCCATTGGTATAATATTGGTTCCATGAACAACTGGCATCATATTCTCATCAATCCATGTCCTTTCCTACAAAAAAAACAGAAAAAAAAACAATATAAGAACATATTGTAAGCATATAAGTGTACACTTTATCCTGCTAGACTTTTATTTATTTATTTTTTCATCTATAATTTGAAGGCATCAGTAATAAGCCAAAGTTGTAATTGTTCAATTTAGCAGTAATGGTGATATGCTTAACTAAACTACGGTATTTCAGTGCAGCTGCTAAGGGAGAAAAAAACCATTAATATTTTACTTTAAGCGGATCTTATCCTCTCCTCCTTCCTCGCTCTTCAACTCTTTTTCCCCTCCCGCCCCAAAAAAAAGTAAAAAATAAAAGTAATTTGAGTAAAGAAGACAGAATTAATCAAAAGAAAAAGTTTTCTTTCAAAAATTAAAAAAAAAATTATATTTTTTTAAAAGGGTATAACAGATTCCAAAGACGTACAACAAACAAATAACTGAAAAACATATATGCATAAAAACAATAAGAATAGAAATCAATGAGAAGCACTCGAAAAAAATAAATAACAAAAAATAAAATTTAAGCAACTCGAACTTTTCTTTTTTCGCCTTCTTCTTCTTCTTTCAAAAAAAATTCTCTAGAAAGAAGAGATTTTTTTCAACAACGACAACGACGACGACAACGGCCTAAAAGTACTTCTGATGTTTCTCTGAGAACACTCGCCACAACTGCACTATTGCCGGCTGTGACAGAAGACAACGATAAAGCCGAAGAAGAAAGAGGAGGAGAAGGAAAAAAACAAAACAAGTGAAAAGATGGAAGTAAATAATTGTTTTTTTTTTCATAATTCAAAACCAAAACTAAACTGCATTATTGTTGCTGTTGATATAATATTGAAAAAAGAAGAGTTTTTTAGACTTCTCTTAGCACTGATCCATAAGGCTTTCTAATATAAAACAACCAACAACACAGCTTCAACTACTACCACCACCGCAATAACAACGGCACCATCAATATCGTTTTTAAAATTTCTTAAACTTACCGCATAAGTATGTTTAAAACAACAATGTAAAACTATAATTTTTAATGTACAGAAAAAATAACGAAAAGAAAACTTTATAAATTAATCGTTCAATAAACAAAAAAATTAGGTTCTTTCTCCATATCTTTTGATAAACTGACTATATCAATGAAAAATGAAATTTTTCCAAAGACAAAATACCGAAGGAAAAAAATGCAAAAATTAATAGATCTATTTACTGTAGAACCCCACCCACTTCAAAAAAAAAACCTAGTATACTAAATAAATAAAAATGAAAGAAAAATGTTTCTATCCGAATATTCAATAGTTGCTGTTGATATAATACAAACAACTAACTGAAAAAAAAAAAAAAAAACAATTATCTATCCCCTCTTCGCTCCTCTTCTTTCTTCCTCTTACAAAATATCCAAAACTGCTGCTCCTTCATCGTTCAGCTGTTTTCAGCTGTTACAGATAAAAAATTTGTTGGTAGTGACAAAGATGAAATAACGATTTTTTTTTCATTTTTGCACTTTTTTGTTGTTTTTGTCGCTCCTGCTCCTGCTGCTGCTGCTGTTGCTGTTGATGCTGATGCTAATGCCGATGCTGATGTTGCAGTGAATTCGGATGAATTCATTTGCTGATAAAT